CAAGGTTACATGGGAGAACTAAACCCTGGTTTGAAGATTTATACCCAAAAGAGGCCTAAAAATGTTTCATCGGTTCTCAGTAACAATGTAGATCACAATGTTTGTGTTTAGTTTTTTTAACTGGGTTTCCTGAAGACTTTCACAAACATGCACATACCAAGAGAAAAAAAAATTAATCCCCCACTAAGTGTGTAATCAGAAGGGAGTAGTGGGGGGGAGAAACAGACCTGAACAGACCAACGAACGGCTCTGGGATCGTGCTTACACCGCATATAGCTCCAACTCAAGGGCTTGGGCACCCTCTGGTTAGGATCATCTGTTTGCTAGCAGGTTACCCAAATTGCAGGGGAAGCAGGGAGAGACCTCGCAGTTCTTTGCTTTGTAGGAATCTTTGTACTGTATTTTGAATAAGCAGTGGTTTGCATCCAAGCACGGAAGTGCCAGGGGAACTTGTGGCCCCCTTATGCTCTGGGGAGCCATAAAGGAGAAATAGAGGGTTGTTATTGAATTGATCCAGACACAGTTGGTAAGTCATGTATGTCTAATGTAGCTACTGCAGCAGTGTTGATCAAACACAAGAAGGACACTGTTAACTCTATTTAATGGTAATCCGTCTTCTGCAATGAAATATTGATGACCATAATTGTCTAACTGCATTTGTAATGATTTTTCATAAGGCTTGGGGAGAGCAAATAAATAAAACTAAACAAGGGCAGCTGGAGATTTAATACTCTAAATTGGTGCACAGAAGTGAAAGAAAACCAAAATGCAACTAACAGCCCTGAGTATGTGGATAAATTAAGCACTGATACAGATACGAAACTAATGAAGTATTAGAAAAATTTTGACTGACTATATCTGTTCTTAAAGCATTTTTCATTGACTTGTAGCAGGATTGATTTACAGAAGTCCAGCCCACCTAATTGCATTGTTATGAAAGTGAAACTCCTGCTATGAAACCACATATTTTAAAACCTGAGTGCAACCTTGTCATGGTTGAAGTAGGACAAATTTATCTCAGACAGAGTTGTGTGTCTGCTTACACTGCTTTACACTTTTCACCTCTTAATGATATGCAGATACTCAAGCTTGCACTTAACAGTCTTGAATAAAAATACATTTTTTAATGTTTCCCCAGTTTGCTGAATGGTGTTTGGAGTATGGTGCACATGGATGTCGTATTCCTGACCGACCTTATTCTCTCTTTGAAGGTAAAGTGATGGTGTTGCAAATGGGTTTGTATTACAGGAAAGAGGGGCATCCTCGCAGTTTTGGGACATGCTTACGGGTTGGGAAGTCTTTGGTGGGTTCCTCCACTATGAGGTGGGTTCACCCACCCCCTACCACCGCCTCTACCTAAAAGAAGGCAGAGTGGTTGGGGGCTGGAAAAGGACAAAGGAAAATCATTCGCTGTCTTGCAGCTTTCACTCCTGGTTGCGCTTCAGCAGTTTCCAGTGTAAACCAGTGCTGCTGTTACTCTCAAATAAAATTCTGCTGTGCTGATGCTGCTTGGTTTAAAGCAAACAGAAGTCTGGGCAGCAGTTCTGTCACAGGTGGTGTCACAGGGAGAGGGGCAGCTGCGGGTAGGGGGTCTCAAACTAGTTGCCAGAACTGGTTGTCAGAACTGGACCTTCTCTGCTGCAATACTGAACCAAGGAAAAGGTATGAACCCGGAGGATGAGCTTGAGCTCAAATTTCCTCGAGCAGGAAAGAAATGCAGGGTTCCTGTGGGCTTTTCTGTAAGTTCAAAGACGCTGTAAATGACTTTCCTAGAGCTTTGTATTATTTTTATTTGTAGTTTGTTTTCTCTCCTGTACCTCATCCTCCTGTTACAGAATCATTATCAGGGAATGAGAGAGACCCAAGTGGCATTTTAATTAAGGTGGCGCCGCTGCCGCTCCACGAACGAGCCTGGTTCGCCACCTGCCGCAAACGCGTGGAATTACAGCAGGCGGAGCAGGGGTTATTCTGCAAATAAACCAGCCCAGGGTTGTGAACACCAGGGAGCAGGAGTTATGTGCATCCCTCCAAAAGAGAGAGTTATTGTCTTAACGCTTAAGGGAGAAAAGCATAATTATTCTTATTCCTGATAGCACCCTTGCATGCACTTGTTGGGGGGGGGGGGGTTTGGTGGTAAAAGTGGGCATATATTCTGTTGTGTAAATGCTTTGAAATTTATTGAGAAGGTGAAGTAGTGCCAGCAGTAGGATGATTTGTACTTGAATGTGGACATGTTTATTTTAGTTTTTAATGTCCGAGATTTTTTAGAAGAATCAAGAAGTCTCATATTTCAGATAAAGTCTTAATTTGGGGATTTGTTTGGTTTTGTAGCCAAAACTGAACTTGAAGTTGTCCAATTCTGCAGGTACCTGCATATTTTCTGCAGAATTTGCATGTGCATTTTACAGAATTGTTCTTAATTGTTTTGTTTCCATCAGATGCTGTAATTCAGGAAGGTTCCTTTATATATGCATAGCTATTGGTAAAGTGGAATTTTAGCTTGATCTTAAAACTGAGCTTGTAGCTGTATGCTCTCCTGCTGTAGGGTGTCTCTTTTGTCTGTCACCCCAAGAGTTCTGTTAGGTGACGCTGATGTGTTAGTTCTTTGGGCTCTGGATGGCCTCTTTATGAATAGTGAAGAAATGAATCTGTACATCACAAGTATAATAAAGTTTTGGGGTTTTTTTTTAACCAGTGAAATGACAAGCCAGAGCTACTCCAATAGTGAGGGATTGCCCAAACTAGGATTAACTTTTTCTCAATTTGAAATAGCATTGAGGCTGTTCAGGTGCAAAGATGTTAGCAGAGAGATCTTGGTTCTTGCCTTTGACCTTTTCACATAAAATTTTGTTTCCTGGACAAAGTACAGATGAACTTGCCTTTCTGTAGGCCCTAAGTTCACCTGCGCAAAAAGAGAACTAGTGAGGGTGGTGTTCAAACCTGTGCTGTTGCCTTTGCTGTCAGCTGTACTATTTTAATGTCAAAGATGCACAAAGATCTCTTTCTTGTCATGTTTTAGGCATGGCTGGAGCTATTCACTTCCTCTCGGATATTTCAGTACCGGAGACTTCCCAGTTTCCAGCGTTTGAACTTGGACCTCAGAGGAGGGAAAACAAAGTGGAACAGGACAGCTAAAAAAAACGTCATTTTGAAAGAAAACGGATGCCGAAAGAGATGAGACTGTTTAGTGCCTCTGATACTGAACCAACTCAGTGCTGAACCGACAGATGGCTAAACCCCTTTTCTCACCTCTCCCGCCCCAAAGGACCATGAAGTCATTAGAGCATGAGCAGGAGAAGCCACATTTAAGTTCTGTTGAAGTGACACCCCTTCAGATGTAGAACAAGAGAAGTCAAGTTTTGAACTTTCTCTCTTCTGTTGTATTTGTCTCCTCCAGGTCTTTGACACGCTCTGCACGTTTATTGGTGTTGTGTGTTGATTCGAGTCTTTCTGTTGTTAGCAAAAAGCTGGTCTCTGTGTGAATCTCCGTCCTGTACCTTCGTGCATGACTCTCAGCAGCAGTGTTGCTTTCTGCAGTACGGTTACCCAGAGAGTTCCACCTTATGCCAGAGAGTTTGCTGCAGGACAGTGCCCAGCTCCACTGGTGAGCTGGCAGCTCTAAAAAGAGATGACAAATGTTTTTTATGTTCATATTTTTCCGCCTTTTTCTCTACATTCCCTGCAAGCTAAGCTGATGGAGATCAGTCTGTTTTGATGAAGAGGTATGAGGCTTATGTTTTCAGAAACTTAGCAGGTTGGAAGGGTTCTGACTTGTCCTTTGCTGCTGTCGTGGGAGGTTTTTTTGAAAGTCTGAAAGAGAGCCTCCCTTTGGCACCTGGACGTGGTTAGTGTGTTAGGTACTTACAGCAGGGTGGAGGTGCTTTTCCTCACCTCTGCAAAGCCCTGTCCCATGGCACGAGCTTAAACTGCAGGTGGAATCACTTGGACTAAGCTCCCACTGCCACCACCACCAGAGCCAGGACAGCATAACTGGGCTTCTCCTCATCTGTACCTGGATTTATAATAAACCTGTCCTGCAGCAGCTGGAACAGATGAGTAAGGGAGGGCGTCAGGGCAAGTTTCTCATGCAGGTAACTCGGGATGACTGTTATTTCTGAACCAAGGTGATGATTTGTTCTGGGCCCTCCCCTCCCACCTCAGCCCCTTTGCATTTAGCCCACATAGTAGTTAGTACAGGAGCAATAAGTACCAGCTGCTTGTGGAGGCTGCAGAAGATAAATGAGCAATATGAAGCCACTGCTAGAGGCTGTAACTGAAGTATATTTCATCCTAAAATCCAAACAGAAAAGCTCTTTGCCCTTAGTTTTAACTGCTGCTAGTGCTTTGCTTCCCCCCTGTAGTGTGGTGAAGTTGTGAAATACTAGAGCAGCCTCCAGGTGCTCCTGAATATCAGGCTCTTGGTTTGGTAGGAGAAATGGAACGTACTCTGAGTGCACTTACAGGAGGCTTCTGTTTTCCAGATAGTAGGTACATTTACTGCTTGAGACAGGTAAGTGTAGCACTCTCTCAGTTGCTCAAGCTCTATGGTCATCCTTCCCCCAGGTCTCCAGTTGCTCTGTCTTTCCAGGTGCTTATTTTAATTGATATCTTCTGTTGGATGTGAGTGTGACACATGGCAGAGTTCGACCTTTCAGGCACGCACTGGGATATAGGTGACCTGTGGGCCATCTGCTGAGCTCTGCACCAGTATTTGTAGTCCAGCTTGGAGATGAATCTCTGAATTGTAGCAGATGACTTCCTTGAATGTGTTACAATGTTACCAAATCCACTGGGATGCTAATAATTTCCCCGTTCAGTTCTGCTGGACAAACAGCAGCAGTGTTAGTGCAGGAACAGTGATGTTGGTTTGTCAGGGAGGATTAAGACAGCAGCTGGAGAGACTTTTCCACCCCTCTGGCAAAGGGCAGAAGGTGAGGTGGGGGCACCAAACCCAGCTGTACCTCTACGACCAGGGATGAGGGAAAGTGCTGAAAGGCAGTGGGAGTGAGGAATGCTGCATGGCAAGCAGCTGGGCTGAAGCAAACAGGAGCAGAGCAGCAGAAAGTGCGGAGTAGGGAGAGCTGATTAATGCGAGGGATCAGTGAGGAACAGGGAGAGCTGATTACAGGAGGCAATGCACAATGTACCAGCAGAGGACATCTCAGTGAGATGTTCCCCCATGCCCCAAATCCCAAGCATGTGTTGTATGGACCGTTTAACTATGGGGTCAACAAGCAGGTTTTTTCATTCAGTGGTTAGATGCATATTGGCCTAGGCTACTGAGTTTGGAATGGTTCCTATGGGAGGTGATTTTGGTTTGCTGGAGGCCAAGGGGAATGAAAACTTGCTAGTTTTAAAAATACACACTCAGAACAGCTTCATACTGAGGAGATCTCCCAAGATGCTTGAGTGTACCTGTCATAGTAATGAACAAGTCAACTACAAGCTTGTTCTGTACCACCTTGGGGCCTGGCACCATCATCCTCTGCAGAATCCTCTTGGAATTGAGTAAGACTGGAAAGTTGAGTTGAGAAGCATCTGACAGTGCGTCTGCCTCGTCTTCCTGACGTGACTTTCCCCGTGGCTCCTCCTTTCTGTTCATCACAGCGTTATGATATGTAGGTGGCCCATTAAGAAAGGATGTAGGTGAAAAAAATGTGTTTTACATCAAACTAAAAATGTGGAAAATCCCCTGGTTTGCTTTGTCTGTGTGTAATAGTCCATCTGTTGCAAAAAGCAGTAGTTTTAAAAATGGAGATACTCTTTGGGCAGAAAAAGAGGAAAAAATGCTGATGTTTTGTTCTTTGGCTTTATTAGTAAAGATCCAGCTATGTGGTGGTAATTTGTGTGGGGTTTTTCTTTCTTCCCTGTTGTCCTTCCCTCCAGCACTGTGGTGATCTGACAGCTGAACTGCTTCCCCCTCTCACAGTCCTTCAGGATGAAACACGTGCCAGAAAAGTGAGCAAGTGGGCAAATCACTTTTCTTTAACCTTCACATTTTACTAGCACTGCAAGCCCCTTTCCTGCTGCTTCTCCCAGGTGGTTTTTAGCGTTCGTTGCTTAAGTAAGTGCAAAATGTTGCTTTCTTTCTGGCCCCATAGGTCCTGTTGAAGAGTTTGCATCTAAAGCCAGACTCAGGATGACCTGGTTTTTAAAACACGTGCAGGAAATCTCTGTCCAGCTGATTGGCATTTGTTTTCCAGCTTTGAGAAAGTTTGATGTGTTCCTCTAGCTAGGTTTTAACAGAAGGAAACTTCAGGCATGCTGCAAGCAAGGGTCAGTATTTCTGTTTCAAAAAAAGTCCCTTGTGCCACTCATGGCTGTCTTTTTGCCACCCAGAGAAACCGCTGCATTTTTGAATTAGGGGCATTAGTTCTGTACAAATTCAGCTGTAGCTAAATAAATGCACTGGGGCTTTTCTGGCACAAAAGATCTCTGCAACATCAAAACGGCATAGGATAGAGAGGTGGGAGGATGTATGTGTGCAGGGTGTCAGGTAATAGCTGAGCATCAGGCTGCTGCCTGAGCCCTGTCCCATTAGGGTGTTTTATGCAGCAGTCTTTCCTGGTGAAATTGCTCAACTTTTCTCTCATTTGTTCTCAGTGGTTGCATGTTGATTCACAGGCAGGGCAGCTGTTATTTGTATGCAGGGAGCAGCAGGGACCTGACTTTGAGCCACAGGTTCCCCTTGACATCTGCAACTGGACTGCTGTAAATCCAGCTGCAGCTATTAGATAAGACAGGGCTAGGCAGGAGGAGAGAAATAGAGTGAGACACAGCTAGAGATGCATCTATCCCTGGGACTTCTCTCACTGCCTAAAGCCAAAATAACACATCTATGCAGGAAGGCAGTTATCTCCATCTACAGGGGTTGAGGTCAGAGGGCTGCTTGTCACTGTTCCCTCTGCTTTCTCTGCTGTCCCCTTTACCTTGCAGCACATGGTACCTTGGAACAGTGGCTGCCAGTCCCACCTCTCCTCTTTAATTGCCTTATTATCAGGCAGTTGCTTTGTAGAAACTGTCTTACGCTGGATCCTGTCCTGCATGGTGTCTCGGGAGTCATTTCCCTGCCAAAAAATACAAGTGTAAAAGCCCAGAAGGCAGCTCAGGTGGTGATAGGGCATTAGGGAGGAGGACTCCCACAGCCACAGGGCCTACAAAGACATCCTGGCCCATTTCTCTCACCCACTGAATTAGCAGAAAAATGACCTGAAAAATAAAATTAAAAAAAAAAAAAAAAAAAAAAAAAAAAAAAAAAAAA